CCAGTACAGACACGTGACCGTTAACTGCAAAGGGCCTATTGACCAGTAGAACATAGAATCCTTTCTAAATTATCATTTTTCTTTTATCATTGCCATTTATAGTACTAAAGCCCTTCAACAACCCTGGAAAGACTGCCAGTTCCTCTGCAGCAACCAACCAAAATATCAAGGCTAAAAGCACTGTAGCTTTGACACCAAGGCATAGCATAGAAACACCTGGGGCACTAGTCATGCCAAGACCTAGTGCATCACATCAGGTACTGGCTTCTGAACCAATGAGTCTACAGTTGTCTTAGTACACTATGGCTGTTCGGTATTATTTTATTTTTTAAATATTCACTTTCCTAGTGGGAGAACAACAAGACATCAACGCAGGTAGTAGATGTCGTCATAGATCCCCACATTGCTCAACACCTTAGACCACATCAGAAAGAAGGTGTAATCTTCCTCTATGAATGTGTAGTGGGGTTAAGGAACTTCAGTGGTAATGGTGCTATACTAGGGTAAGGAATATGTCTATCCTTGGATGTTGCACTCTGTTATAATACGATAAGCATGGGCACTTAGCTTGTACTCTTGTTTATTTTCTCTAGTGATGAGATGGGTCTTGGTAAAACAGTACAGTGCATTTCATTAATCTGGTATGGCCTATAAAGGAATATTATTAGCTCCATAAAGAAAAATGTTTTCCTTTTTTCCTTCCTTCCTTTCTTACCTTTCTTCCTCTTATTTCTTCTTTTTTCTTTCTTCTTTTTTTTTCTTTCTTACTTCCTTTGTTTACTTGACTTTCCATCTTCCTTTCCTCCGTTCTGTCTTCCTTTCTTCCCTCCTGTCCCTTTCTTTCTTCAGTAAATCCCAACATATATTGAGTAACCAATAATGTGACACTGTTACTATAATTTACTATAATGTGACACTGTTACTATAATGTGACACTGTTACTATAATGTGACACTGTTACTATAATGTGACACTGTTACCATAATGTGACACTGTTACCATAATGTGACACTGCTACCATAATGTGACACTGTTACCATAATGTGACACTGTTACTATAATGTGACACTGTTACTATAATGTGACACTATAATGTGACACTGTTACTATAATTTACTATAATGTGACACTGTTACTATAATTTACTACAATGTGATACTTTACTATGTGACACTGTTACCGTAATGTGACACTGTTACTATAATGTGACACCGCTACTGTTATAATAATGAGACATAATCCTTTTATTGCACTAGGACATTGCACAAGCAAAGCCCATATGGTGGTCAGCCGTTATGCAACAGAACCCTCATCATAACTCCAGGCAGTCTAGTCAAGGTCTGTTATAGTTTAAAACACAAATTCTAACCTTTGAATTCTTTAGCACTGCATCCACATTAGCCTCTCAATAGCATCTCTCATTCTGTCTTTTACTCTCGGCTTCATTTGAAAGATTTTAAGTATTATTTATACACACAGGCTGTCCATCAATAAAAAAAACATTCCTACTTTCCCAATTCCGACACCTTTGCCTTACACCTTTGGCCCTTCATTTTTTTCGTCTGAATCGATTCTGACAACATAAACCTTTCATGTTCCTTAAACTGAACATGGTTGAAGATCGCCATACTGCGCGCACATTCAAATGTATTGCACTATGTCAATTACAGCACGATAAGCCATGCCAGAAACTGAGTGAATGTTTAAGGTCATCCAATGTTAAAGTTTGGTTACTAAAAAGCTTCTTTTTCGATTCTATGGTTTAGAACTGGTGCTCCGAGTTTCGTAAATGGTTGGGAAATGAAAGAATGAAAGTGTATCCTGTTACTTCAGAAAAACGCGTCAAGGTATTGGTTTCTTTTGCCACTGATAAATCCTTAGTATATATTCTAAGTAGATGTTAAGTATTGTATATACAATATATATTCTTATTCTCTTTAGAGTAGCAGAGTTTTGTCAACGTTGCGCGTGCAACCGTTTTTAGTTACAAATCCTGCACAAAATAGCAAGGGCGTAGGCAAGGGGAGGGCCGGTGGGGCCACGCCCCCGCCCCCTTTCTTCATGACAAGAAAGATGTTTAAATTTGCCCGCCCCCCTTCGAAAAATTTTGGCTACGGCCCTGAATACACCTTGGGAGATGAGATTTCGGAAGTCAGAATCTCCTTTAAGCGACCCCTCTTGCTCTTCAAAGGCTCATTGTCCGTTGCATGTCATGTAGCGTAGTTGTGTTGGTTTCTTTTATCTTGATTATTGTTATTGTTCTGTAGGAGTTCTCAATCAGTCCAATCTATCCAGTTCTGATCATCAGTTACGAGATGTTTATTCGCTCACTAGAGGAAATCCAGAACATCAAGTTTGATCTGTTCATCTGTGACGAAGCGCATCGACTAAAAAACTCCAATATCAAAACAACTACGGTATGGCTGCCGTCCGACATTACTCATGTTTTTGTTGGGTTTGCGCGCACCCTTCAAAATAAGCTTTTTATCCGCATCTTTGGTGAAGACCCAGAAAAAAATATGCCAATATGTTTTCATATGTTCACTGTCAGAATTCTTCTGCCCATACATATTTATGTTTTCAGATCTTACTTTTTCCTTCTTAGGTGATTTCAGCACTCAAGACAAGGCGCAGGATTTTACTCACTGGAACACCTATACAGGTTTGTTGTTCTTGTTTAATTGTTCGTTCGTTCGTTCGTTCGTTCGTTCGTTCGTTTGATTGTTTATTTCTCAGTTGTTTGTTTTTCAAGCAGCTGCCATGTTGAATTCAATACCAGAACAGTGACAAGTTAAGGGATTGAAAGACAAAAACATGCAAAAGCCAGCTTTTAAGCTTTCATTGGTTCTGTCTTCTGTCCGAAACGACATGTTAATTTAATTTTCTCGCCTGATTTATTTGCAGAATGATCTCACAGAATTCCACTCTCTGATCGACATTTGTAATCCAGGCATATTAGGTCAGTAATGCAGTCCCCACTGATGTACACACCTTCTTTACCAACTTCCATTCCCAATAACGATGTCTTACGTGTGCCTGAATCATTAGTACAGTTTAATTCAGTTCAGTTAGACATCGGGGGGTGCACCCTTTCCCCCTTAAATCAGTGCTCTACTTTAAGCTAGAGGGATTAGAGAGAAGCTGAAACGTGTGTAAGATCACTGGGGTCGAACTTCTAAACCCTTACTTTGCTGGCAACTGACTATGCAGAGATACACACTTGCCACTCCCTTCTCAGTCTTGTCCCAAACGGCCTTTACCCCTCCCCTCCCCTCCCCCACAAAACCGGACACACTTACTTAGCATTACAGTGATTCATTCAAAAGTTTGTTTCCTTGAAAGAGCGCGCAATAGCAATGACCACTTCATTTTAGGTACGCAAGTACTATTTCGTCGTGTATATGAACAGCCCATCATACAAGGACAACAACCTAATGCTACGAATGAAGAAAAGATTCTTGGACAAACAAGAGCTACCGAGGTATGTACGAACACGCATCTACTGAGACAACAATTAAAGAACGTTTATTTTGATCAAGTTGATCTAAGTCAGGGCACTGCTAATGGCATTTCCGCGAGCATGCGCAGTAAGAGGACGAAAATCAGAACGAGATAAAAATGTACTGCTGAGTCTGACTAACTTGCCCTTGATAATCTTGTTCTTTGCAGCTGAACCGGTTAACAGGTCTGTTTTTCTTAAGAAGAACAGCGGAAATCAATAACCAATACCTGCCACCCAAAGGTAAAATGCATTTCCAAAATTGTCCACGTCCACGTCTCTCAAACTGTTTAAAGTAAGCCCTTACGAAGCGTTGTTTGACCATAGATACGTACGGTCTATTGACGCAATACTTTATTTTACAGTTCCGTTCCGTACCACGAATAATAGTTCCAAGCCGAAGCTGGAGTTGCCGCGCATGACAAAGTATAGTTTTGCTATGCGYGGCAACTCGAAACTCGACTTGAAACTATTTACTCATAGACACTGAATGGAACTGTAAAATGGAGTATTGCGTTAATGTTAGCGTCCACTTCCGCTCTTTTTTCTTTTGGGAAGGGATCACAGCGAAAGTAAGCATTTACCGCGAGCAATCTTGATAATAAATTGGGTTTTTTTCTAGTTGAAACAGTGATATTCTGTCGTCCATCCCAGCTACAGTCGTCCATTTATCGTCGGCTTCTCACCTCAAGGCTGGTTCGCTCCTGTCTAATAGACTCCGCCGGAGGTTCTCGACACTTGGTGTGCATTGCCGCGCTCAAAAAGATATGCAACCACCCATGCCTGGTGTTTGAAGCCAGCCAAGAGGCTGAGACAAACCTAGAGATTGATGAATCCGAAGAGGAGTCGCTCTATGATGGTCTGCTGTCAGTTTTCCCACAGGGCTACGACAAACAGGACCTGAATCCACAAGAATCAGGGAAGTTAGGGACTCTAAGTAAAATGCTGGACAACATTTCTTTCATGAAAGAGAGAGTAGTAGTGGTATCTAACTATACCCAGGTAATGATACTCAATGCAGCAGCGCTCAGTTTGGAAACTTGGACTTACAAGTGCTGCTTCCCTCGGTCTATATGTATGTAACTCTGCCTGCTCAATAAGCAAACTCCCGTACTGAAAATGATTGTTTGAACTGAACGGTTTATTACTTGGGATTTTTTATGCATTTCTATGGTGTGGGTTGCCTGTGTAGTGACAGCCTTTACTTACTTGAGAACAGTTTCTTACCAGGGAAAATTGGTTTTGCAGTCAAAGAGAGTTTGACATTCAGTTGTTCCCTATAGATCAACTCATAGTAGTAATGTTTAGAATATATATTGTAATTTTTGGTTGTTATTGATGAATTAGACTTTAGATGTGATACAAAAGTTATGCGAGGCTCGGGATTACCGGTTCCTCAGACTGGATGGTAACACTGCTACCAGTAAGCGACAGTCTCTTGTGGATCGATTTAATACCAGAAATTGTAATGACTGTAAGTAAAAGATTAYGTTTGTTTGCTTTGAGGCCCATTTCAAAAAAAAGCTGTGGGATGGTGAAAAAATAGGAAATAAATTACCAGTCCTAGGGAATCAAGGATGGCGTAGCGGTGGTGCACTCAAAAATTTGCCTCGCTACCACACCCTAATTCGTCTACTGACACGCCTACTTTTGTCACTGTCTTGGATCTAGCACATTGCCAGTAAGGTATTCGCTGTAATACATGTAACAAAAGTAGGCGTGACAGTGCACGAATTAGGGTGTGGTAGCGAGACAAATTTTTGACGTGTCGCCACAGTTCGGTGAGATCCGTAGTAGGATCTTGGCTGAATCGCATTTGGGCTTGACATCGATTATAACTACTATTCCTCCGGCAGCTACACTAACTAACCCAATATCTACTAAGCAATATTGTGTAAGATGATTACACCAGCTTACACCCATGCCATAACTATACTTCGAACTAGAAATTCCTTTCATGAAATATATGTGTCACTATATCCGTGCGTAAACTCTTTTGCACCTCAACCGTTTAAGTCAACTTATCCGCTTATTGAACATCTCTTTATCTTTTCACTGAAGTCGTGTTTCTGCTGAGTTCCAAAGCCGGTGGTGTTGGTCTTAATCTTATCGGTGCATCAAGGCTCATACTGTATGATATTGACTGGAACCCCGCCAATGACCTACAGGTTAGCAGTACTGACTTGACGCACCCTTATAAACGTCTCAGGCGTTAGAAGCAGGACCCGGTTGTACGAAGGGTGGATACTGCTAACAAACGGATAAATCCTTATCCAGTGAATAAGTCGATGCTGTTATCCAATAAATTTATCCATTGGATAAGATTCATCCGTCGGATAGCGATATTCGATCTTCGTACAACCGGGCCCAGATGAAAAGAGTGCGTGCACGGAATCTATCAAAAGGCAGCTCAATCTAAATGTAAGAACAGAAACGTTAAACTTTTTTCACGAAAAAAGTTACAGACTATACAGCAGCTTTTTGTGCGTGCAATCTATACTCCCGCAACTTGTTTTGTTTCTGATTTTTTTGCTGAAGGTAAAACTACCTACTGTATAGAACTTAATACAGGTCCTTAAAGTGGGGCCCAATCTTTATTCTTTCTAATTCTTCCCTTTCTTGCAGTCTTCTTCCCTTGGCCTATTACGGCGCGTGCACATATAAAGGGGTCCACTGATGATGTTATACTAAAAATACATTGATGATGATTAATAATTGCGCAATTTTAAAAATAGGCCATGGCAAGGGTTTGGAGAGACGGGCAGAAGAAAAAAGTCTACATATATCGCTTACTAACCACGGTCAGTACAAACCAGTACCAATCTTGCTACAGATATCTTGTTACAAGTTAGCAAATTGCTGGTAACAACGTTCTATGATTTCTCACACCTGTCTCTTTATCCCAAGGGAACTATCGAGGAAAAGATTTACCAGCGTCAGACTACCAAGCAAAGTCTAAGTGGAGCTGTAGCTGATGCTAAAAAGGAATCTAAAGTAGAATTCTCACTTGAGGAAATAAGGGTACTTTTAGATGATGATACAACACTAGCTTGCAATACGCTTCCTTCTGTCTTCCTTTTTCTATCTCTCTCTCTTTTTCTTTTTTTCTTTTTTTCTTTTTTTCTTTTTTTCTTTGTCTCTCTTTTCTTTTATTAAAAATTAAACCTTCATATATTTCCCTCTTTATTTTAATAGGACTTGTTCTGTCTCCACGAGAATACGCCTTGCTCTACCCATGACTTGTTGCAATGCCGCTGTACCGAAGAACAGGCAAGTCATAATATGCAACACTCAAAAACCCTCAATTTTATCAAACCCTGAAACAGCCTCTGGACTGATCTAATTCAGCGCATTGCTAACTCACAGATTGAACCCTGGAACAGCCTCTAGACTGATCTAAATCAAAGCACGGGTAACTCACAGATTGAACCCTGAAACAACCTCTGAACCGATCTATATCGGGGAACGGGGAACTCACAGATTGAATCCTGAAACAACATCTGAACCGATCTAAATCGGGGCACAGCTAACTCACAGATTGATCTAAATCAGGGCACCGATGGCCTAGCTTTCAAGTATTCGGCAAAAACTTTTGTCGTGTTAATTAGTTTAAGACGTTACTATTTTTCTTAGACTGATGATGAGCAAGCGATATCCAACCAGTCAGCGGCTGTGCCCATAACAAGGGCGTGTCAGCTAGGTGTGCCTAGTAACGTTGAGAAGGTATGTTATAAACGTTGAGGTTATTACTTTGACACATCATACAAAACAGTAGTCTAATACACGTTTATAAAATGTAAGCTTTCATAAATCTCGCTTTGTAATTGGTTGGGAACATGTGTTTTATGAGGGCACATAGCAGGTGTGTGCATACTTTTTTATTTAAGCATATTTTCTCAAAGCATTAATCTCAAGAGCTAAAACGCATCGAGGGGTTCCATCCTGTTTATTTCATCATCCGTATCAAAAAAATTGGCTAATAATTTTTTTTTAAAAGGGAGTAAAAACTTGCTGTGTATCCAGTTAAAAAAAGCACGCGGGAATTTACGCGCGCGCGTTTTAATTCTTTAGTTACATCTCAGTCTAGTTTCTGGATCCTTTCAAGTAATCTGGATGTAATATGCTTCTTTACGACTCAAAAAACTTGCCAAAAATAACTACGAAAATCTAAAGTACCCTGAAAAAATTGAAGACTTAACTGAGTATTGAAATTCGCCTTATATTGCGTTCAGTCAATATTTTTCTTTGACCAAGCAAGAATCAGGGCCGTCGCCTAAGTTCAGTTAGTTCAAGCTATAAGAAGCGTCTAGCCCAGAAC